CTTATACACATCTAGATGTGTATAAGAGACAGGATATGCGCAGGTGCATCAATGGACCGATGTCTTTCGGTCGGATACACGAAGTCCGCCGGAATCCGAACTTCTTTTGCCGACCGATTTCGCGACATGTCAAGTGCGAAGGCAGGCATGGCCAACGACAGTGCTCCGATGACCAGTCGTGACAACATGTGAACCCCTGATGCGGGCGAACTTGTGCAGTTGTTCCAACATGCCGTGCAACCCCAGCGGGCAACCACAGCGGGGGACCTGTGGAAATGTGAAGTCCGCCGGGATCCGAACTTCAAGAAAGTACGGGAAGGCGAGTTTGATATTAGACAACTGTGTCTTTCCCACGAAATCTCGCCAAGTACGGATCCCGACGAACTTCGGGTTCCCGCCTTTCATAAGACCCAACACGCGGTGCAACCCCAGCGGGCAACCACAACGGGGGACCTGTGAAAATGTGAAGTCCGTCGGGATCCGAACTTCAAGAAAGAATGGGAAGGCGGGTTTGATAAAGAGCTGTGTCTCTCCCACGACATTTCGCCAAGTACGGATCCCGACGAACTTCAGGTTCCCACCTTTCGTAAGACCCAACACGCGGTGCACCCCCAGTGCACAACCACAACAAGGGACCTGTGGAAATGTGAAGTCCGCCAGGATCCGAAATTCAAGAAAGCACGGGATGGCGAGTTTGATAGACAACTGTGTCTCTCCCTCGAAATTTCGCCAAGTTCGGATCTCGGCGAACTTCAGGTTCCCGCCTTTCGTAAGACATGTTTGCGGCTCGTCTGCTGGCCCGCGGATCCGAACTTAGCTTGCACGGTTCCACGCACAATCGACAAGTTCGGACTCCGGCGAACTACGGTTTCGTAAAAATGCGTAGTCCGCCGGGATCCGAACTTCTCGCGCACGGTTCCTCATACAATCGTCAAGTTCGGACCTCGACGAACTTCGCTTTCCGCATGGTGCGGGTTCTGACTGTGGGCTTTCTGGCGCCCGGTTGATTGGCACAACTTCGGATTTGTGAAAATACGAAGTTCAACGGGATCCGAAGTTCAAGCAAGTTTGGGACGGCGAGTGGGAGAGACAACTTTGTCTCTCCCGCGCAGATTCGCCAAGTTCGGATCACGACGAACATTACGTTCCCGGCAACTCCCGCCATTCGCGGGACATGTTAGCGGCTCGCCTGCTGGCCCGTGGATGTGACAAGAACACCAAGTCTCCTCGAGTCTGGGCTTCACGGAATTCCGAAACGGGTCTTCGAACGTACACTTCCTCTAGGACTAGAGGTCGCAGAAAGCGAAACAGGACAGCATGATAACGGCGAATGATCACGTCGTGGTAGACCTCCCGCCTCGTGCGTTTCGCACAAACATGGCTCCTCGCACAATCGTGGATCCCGACGAACTTCGCGGTTTCGGATGACGTGGCTTCGGATGCCTCGTGCGTCTTGGGAACCGTAATGGTTCTCCGAGTACGGCCTGTGAACGTCGAGTGCCAGTGCAACAACGATCCGTGCGGACAATGTGGTTCGATCACGGGGATTAAAGGCAGTTGCACTGAAACATCGGCTGGAGGTCCATTCCCCTGTGCATGTGCAGCGCGAGAAGGCATGTGGAACCTCGTGAATTTTCAGTTCGGGCCTTGACGACGACGTGTGGGCGTGCCCACGCCAGTTCCAGTTCGCCAACTCTGTTTATGAGTGTCAACGTGTTCCCGCCTTTCGTAAGACATGTTTGCGGCTCGTCTTCTGGCCCGCGGATCCGAACATAACTTGCACGGTTCCACGCACAATCGACAAGTTCGGACTCCGKYGAASTACGATTTYGTAAAAATGCGTAGTCCGCCGGGATYCGAACTTCAYRCGCACGGTTCCTTGTACAATYGTCAAGTTCGGACCTCGAYGARCTTCGYTTTCTGCATGGTGCGGGTTYTGACTGTGGGCTTTCTGGCGCCCGGTTGATTGGCACAACTTYRGATTCGTGAAAATGCGAAGTTCGYCGGGATCCGAAGTTCAAGCAAGTTTGGGATGGCGAGTGGGAGAGACAGCTTTGTCTCTCCCGYGCAGATTCGYCAAGTTCGGATCACGGCGAACATTACGTTCCCGCCATTCGCGRGACATGYTAGCGGCTCGCCTGCTGGCCCRTGGATGTRACAAGAASACCAAGTCTCCTCGAGTCCGGACTTCACGGAATTCCGAAAYGGGTCTTCGAACGTACACTTCCTCTAGGACAAGAGGTCGCAGAAAGCGAAACGSGACAGCATGATAACGGCRAATGATCAYGTCGTGGTAGACSTYCCGCCTCRWGTGTTTCGCGCAAACATGGCTCCTCRCACAATCGTCAAGTTCGGATCCCGGCGAACTTSGCGGTTTCRCATGACGCGGTTTCRCATGCCTCRTGCGTCTTGGGAACCGTGATGGTTCTYCGAGTACGGCCTGTGAACRTCGACTGCCAGTGCAASAATRATCCGTGCGGACAATGTGGTTCGATCACRGGGATTAAAGGCAGTTGCACTGAAACATCGGCTGGAGGTYCATTCCCCTGTGCATGTGCAGCGCGAGAAGGCATGTGGAACCTCGTGCATTTTCAGTTCGGGCCTTGACGACGACGTGTGGGCGTGCCCACGCSAGTTCYAGTTCACCAACTCTGTTTATGAGTGTCAACGTGCCCGYCTGTATCGTTTGGTGTGTGCKCGTGGTGTGTAGGGTGGGTAATGGAGGYGACCTTCTCRACACCACGGATCATGGAGTCGATCTTCTCGACACCACAGACCATGAGACCCGAGACGCACATTCGCTTGGCAGAACCGTTTTCTCCWTGTGCRAGATCCGTGASGCATTTCAACARYGTGACTACGATCCACGGARCGACCGCGGAGGACTTCGAGGAGGACCCCTGGATGACYGTCGTCCCGTRCATGGACGGACATAWTGACGGTTKGTGTGACGACAATTGGGCCACGATGGAGAGTGACTGCCCKTGGGCAGGCCAGKACAAGTTCGCCAACATGCTGGAGTTTGTGGACCTCATCCCGCTGCCCGACGCTGTCCTCGGCCACAAGTTCCTGAACCGTATGCGCAGAGCACTAAGCTGCATTAGCCTCTATTTCAGTTGCCTCGAGTGCCACTATGTCAGGTCGTCGCCACGAACTTGGGGAGGCTCGCGGAAACGAGAGTTGGTGGAATGCGCTCGTCACTGCCTGTTCCTGGAGTAGTACCCGCTCCGTTGCCCCAAGAATTCTCCACAAGCCGTGTCGTACTGTTGTGTGCGGTTAACTGTGTCCGGATTTGATTTCGCCAAGGTTCTGTGTGTCGCTACTTCGAACAAGAATAGGAAACTTGTCGATGCAGTTGTGCTTTTATCACGCAACGAGGTGGCAATTGAGGGGTCCAAAGTCATGCCGACTCGCGGGCCTGCTCGTGTAGATGGGTGGCGAGATTTGGTGATAGCATGGCCGGTCCAAAACTTTCCGTTGCATCATGAGGTCGAGGAGAAAGTGTCCGATGTACGAGACTGTACAGGGAATTCCTTAGCACGACCGGGAGTGTTTGTTAGGATGAAATACATGTCCGTCTTTTCGGAGAGTGCAACGGTCGACGATCCTTTGATCCGCGTATACGGATCATCAATGAATACTTTGTATGGCTTCGGTTCACAACCTCGTCCCCGGGGAACCCCAAATGTCACTAGATCTGGACGTGTGGTTAGACATTGTGTGTAAGCAAAAAGAAGGGAGGCGTGTGAGAGGCTTGTGTGCTGCCGAAAATGGCAGATATTGAGTAGTGGAGGAAGGTGTGAGAGGCAGCATGTTCTAGTGCACGCCGTGTCTTTCCGTGTCGCGCCCTGCTGAAGTTCAGATCCCGGCGAACTTCGCGTTTTGGCCTGTGCGTCCGACCGGCCTTCGAGCTTCGAGTGTTTGGCGGAGGCCGAAACCCCGTCCACCACGGCCCTCGAAACAGTCTTGCAACCAATTCCGCCTGGACATTCTTGCGATCTGAGTCCTCCACCAACTGAACTTCGCAAACACTTTCCGTATGCGGTTGTCGTCCGACCGCCATCAACATGTGCCAAACAGTCGATCAATGTCCTTGCGAAATACCAAAAGCACTCTTACGGGCCCTCTTGTTGGATCTGGATCTGTTTTGAGCAGAGTTTCGCACTCCACAAACAGAATTCCCCTCCGGATCCCACATGTTATCAGTTGTTCGGGCAATCTTTCGGGATGCTAAATCGCAAATGGGGCAAGTTCGGTGGGCCTTCTTGTTGGATCTGGATCTATTTTGCGCAAAGTTTCGCACTCTACAAACAGTATTCCCCTCCAGAACCGGCATTTAATCAGTTGTTCGGGCAGTCTTTAGAGATGCTGGATCGCGACTGCGGCCAGTTGCACAGACGGACTCAATGACTGCTGCCATAAAAACCTGCGGTCAGATGTGGGACCCCGTTTTTTTTCCTCGAGCGCCATGGTCGGACCCCGTCTTGCGTCTAGACTCATAGTTGCTCCAGTATTTCTCTCTGTCTCTCTTTCTCATAGCCTCCTGAAGTTCGGATCGCGGCGAACTTCCCGTGTCGCCTGTCTATTGGAACAGACAGCGGTCTTCCGGATCCCCCGTGGATTGCAACGACAACCCTAGTCCAGGGACCCCTAAAATGTTGTCGCGGCTGCCGCTTTCGAACTTGGGTTCATCCAGTGCCGAGCTGTGCATACCGCGAAATCGGACATCAGAAGAAGTTCGGATCCGRGCGGACTTCTCCTTTTCAACYAGCCTTTYATGTCAGTGTGGCCTTCCCGAGTCGTGGTTGAGTTTGACAACCATAGACTTGSGGATCGTGTGTCTCTGACGCCGTCTCTGCYTGTCRCATCRTCCTGAAGTTCGGATCCCGACKAACTTCACGTTTCGGGAGGTGCGTTGGTTTGTCTTTGGTCTTCGTGGTTCCGGGTGGATCGCACAACCCGCCCGACAACAGTTYCGGAGTGTGTTTGCTCGAGCACGGTTCTGGGACGCTGGCTGCATGACTGACTCTATCTCCATCTCTCGCACCCTCTTCTAGKTCGGATCCCGRCGGACTTTGCGTGCTGGCCTGTCCRGGTTTCGAGTGCTACGCGGGGGACACTACCCCGTYGAGGGCGAGCTTCGAACATGACCGCCCGTTGATTCCCGCGAAAAATTCCCGAATTCTAATTCCGCCGTCTCTATCTCACGCACCGTCCTTTAGTTCGGATCCTGGCGGACTTCTCGATTTTCACTGTGCGTTGGTCTCTCTTTGTTCTTCCGGGTGCCCCGTCTGCTGCATAAACAGCGCTTGATCCCATGCACACTGCGAGTTTTCACTTGCTACTCTCTCTCTCTGTCTGCCTCCCGGTCTCATACCCTATTGAGGTTCGGATCCCGGCGGACTACCCGTTCTCACCGTCCCGGATTTGGGTGCCAGGGTGTCTTTGTGTGCGGATTTCGCTGCGCTGCAGCCTGCGTTGGCGTGTGGCAGCGACTGTTCTGTTTCTCCTGTGCTTTGCCAGACGATGACTTCATGGTGTGGTTTTTGATTTGCGTTGTTTTTCGCAGACAGGATGTCTTCTTCCAAGGGCGAGGTGGAGCCAACAGGGACCTCCGGGAAGGAATCAGGAAAAGATTCCACGAGGCGGACGTCTACTGCCACGAAGGGGTGGTCGAACCATTCGAGGTCGAAATGGTTCATCGACTGGTGCTGTGGAGACGCTTCTAACCCCACTGCGCAGCCATGTGGTCCTGTCATCTTCATCGACAGCAGAAGGCGTAGAGTGCTTGGGGCTGTTTTGCGGTGGGAGGACGCAAAGGGGGGCCGACGACATTTCTATATGCAAAAGGTTTATGGTGCCAAGGGCAACGTCGTTGCCAATTCGAAAGGGACGTTGTTGGACCTCGAATTGTGTGAGGGGTTCGGAGCGAGTGCTATGAACACCTCGTTCTACAGAGAACTCGTTCTCGGGGGCGGATTTGTTTTGGCGCGTGAATTTTTCGACATGTTGGAGGACAGGAACATTGCTCTCAACGTCCCCTGCGACATCGGCCACTCCCTGGAGCTCTCGTTGCCGTTGAGGCTGTGTAGCGGTTGCGAGTCAAGCGGGGCAGCGGCGGAGGGCGGTGATCTAGGTTTTTGTCCCGCTACTCAACTGCACCGTGGCGAGAGCTGAGGTCAGTTCCATGACAGCGAGGATGAGGGGCCTGCTCCGCCGTTGAGGGACACGCGGCGGTCTGTGTTGTCTATTCCTGGGGTTCAGACTGACGCTCCAGTTCAACGGGAGAGTACGGAACCTGCAGGAGAGTTGGCAGCCTCTTCGGAGGTCGACTTGGAGGCGAGCGAGGGCCAGAGTGTAGAGGAGGTAACCGCGGGCGGCCWGGGCTCGCAAGGYGMTCCACAAAAGAGGAGGGGGGATCGTCCAGACGAGTACGCCGGTTCTGCGAAGAAGTTAAAGAGCAAGGCCCCCAGGACTGCGGGGGAGAAACGCAAGGGGACCGAGGGGGAGCAGGGCCGGCAGGTTGCCAAACGACCGTCTTCGAGACAGAAGCAGCCTGAGTCTGGACCGTCTTCTCCACCGACAACAGGGACTCCCACCGACGTCGACGTCGGGTACTTCCTAGAGTACAAAGACGGCGTTCGGACAAAGCGGGAGTTCGAGATTAGCCCTGCGCAGGTCGTCGACCTCGGGGAGTGGGAGGACCTATACAACCAACGGTCCCTGGATCCGGTGGTCGTGGAAGGGATCAAAGAAGCGATGCGGTTGGCGTTCGAAAACAAAGCGCAGTCTTACGATTTACCTAACCTGAAGCTAGCACCGCTGGGGCTTAATAAACCGACTCCGGGGACCAAAGCAGAACGTCTCAGGCCGGAGGAATGGAGGGATGAGCTGGCGGGACAATACTACTACTACGCGGTGTGTGGGCAGCACAACGCGGCTGCAGCGAGGTCGCTCCTCGGCAGCGAGGTGGCCAGGAAATACAATTTCGAGCGGTGGCCAACACGAATGGTCTACTTTTCGGACGGGGACTTCGAAGGGTACTTCCTTGTCTGTTCCCAGGACAACAAGAAGGACCTGAAGGCGCCCCCACGACAGTTGAAGCTGTCATTGAGAGACATTAGGTGGCAGCGGAAGTGCGCCGGTTGCCCACGTGCTGTTGTGGGGAACCCCAGCGGAAAACAACTGTCCGGAAGTGGCGTGAATTCTGTAATGTCGCGCTCAATATGAGACCGCACAACAACTTGTGGATTCTCGCAGATCAGAAGGGCGACGAGGCCATCAGGAAACAAGGCGCTGCCCTGCGTTCCTATTTCCCGCTGGCGATGGCAGGGGAGAACGTCTGGAAACTGGCCGTCGAGTTTTTCGAGAAATAGGAGACAGGCAGATTGCTCGGACACAACGGCGCAAAGTGGATCATGCGGAAGAAGAAATCAAAAACGTGAAGCCTGGGGTTGCCTACATCGACAACGACAAACTGGGCAGGAAGGAGGTCGTGTACAACGTCCCTATGGACCCGCCGACAAAGAAAGGCAAAAAGGAGGAGGAGGGCGAGTGGTTCGTGCAAGTGCCTGAGCCCGACGCACATTGTTGGAAAACGATGGAGTCGCTAACCGACAATGAGAAGTGCCGCATCCTGAAGAAGGTGCTCGCTTGCGAGGTGGTTTGGGTCCAGACCGGCTCCCCGGCGTTGGCGAAGCTCGGAAAGTTGAGCGTCCAGGAGATAGTGCATTTGGTGAAGTGCGACTGGGTGCTAGTGCGTTTGTGGAACTACTACCAGTTCAAGCATAACAAGAGGCCGGACGCGGATTGGAGCCAGAGGTGCCCATTCCTGAAATCAAGGTCCGCGATTTTCAGACAGTTTGAGAGTCGTGGTTTGGATGCTGAGTTGTGGGACGGGAGCTGGAAATACGTCACTGACTCCTCACTGTTCAACGACTGCCCGCCCTACATGGGCTGCGACGACGACAGATCGATCGAGGCGACGGAGAAGTTGGCCGGTCACAAGAAGCTGTCTGTCGACTGGAGGAATAAGGTCCTGTCCGTGTTGACAGGCAGTAGACTGAAGAGTCGCAAGATCGTGCTCGCCGAAGGCATTGTGCACATAAAATGGAAAGACACGGGCGACGTGACATCCATCACGCCATTCGGCAACGGCCCCTTGGAGGCAGACATAAGGAGTGCGGAGGTGAAGACGATAGTGGTTGCCACAAAGAGTCACACATTCGTCCTCGATCTATGCAAACCGGTGGACCTGAAGCTTTGGAAACCGCAAGCGTTCGACACTCTGGATTCCCAACTAAAGACGTGGTGTCCGTCGCATTGGACGCTCGTCGTCTTCGTCCCGCGGCAGCAGAACCTCTCGTTTCTGGCCAGCATGAACCATCTTTCTTTCATGAAGCTGCTGGAAGGGAAGTGGGTGAGGAGGAGTCAACAGAAGAAAATCTTCCCCGTCGGGAACAATTTGTACACGGAAGACGACCGGATGTACATACTCTTCAAAGACGACGATTTGCTCGCTAACACGTCCGTCGTCTACGAGGGGAAACTGCCGGTAGGCGCCGCTGCTGCAGTGCGGCTACCACAAAAGGTTACGCAAACGGATGTGTCCGACATCCCGTTGAGCCCTTGCGACTGGTCGCATACCTCGCCTGCACGTCGGGGCAGTGTGTACGGGGACATGGAACGTAACCCCGCGCAATTCGTTAATCTTCTCGAATCCGTCACCAAGAAGGGGGAGGGTGTCGTCTTCCTCGGGAAGCCACACGCGCGATCAGTGTGGGAAGTACTGAAGGCAGGACGACACGTCATCGCGATGGAAGGGAACTCCGAGCTCTTGAATTTACAATTGATCTCGTCAAAAGCGAGGTCAATTCGGGTGCCCACAATTGCGAGTTTATGGTTGTCACCGAGACTCGGGCTCGCGTGTGGAACAACAAGAAGGACATGTGGTTCAAGTTGAGTGCGAGGAAGCGGAACAAGATATACGACATCTTGTTCCTGCAAACACGGTCGAAGAAAGACACTGACGCCGAGTACGTGCGCCGCAAGGACCACATATTCACGTTGCTCGACAACTACCATGGCGCCTCCTGCATGAACGCGAAGACCTTCCTCGAGAGGTTGCAGTCCCTGTACTTCGTGGAGTCAGAGGAGGAGTGGACGTTCGACAATTACTCCTCCTTGATCTCCACGGAAGACGAGGAGACCACCGAGATCGAGTTCGACGCGACCGCGGACGAGGAGGGCAGTGGCACCAAAAGCCTCGACCTACAGTACGACCCACATCCCGTGCAGCACGCTACAGGGTCGTCCTTGGCAGGTCCGTTTCGCTGCCGCGATGGAGTGGGGAAGCGTGATCAAAGTCCCTCATTATTCCATTGGTGTCTGACAACTTTCGTCCCTGCGCGTCACGCTCAGGCAGGAAGAGAAGTGCCTCATTATTCCATACCTTCACGATGGAGTGGGGAAGCGTGATCAAAGTGCCTCATTATTCTGTACCTTCGCCTGGACAACGTCACGAGGTCACCTCGGGTGGGGTCTGCGGACTTGAAACAAGAGTTGTCGGACTGTGCCTCCTACAATCCGTTTTTGGAAGTATATCCGCTGCGTGGTGCCGGAATATGTCCAAAAGATGTATCGTATTGTTGCATACGGTTGTCTGTAGTCGGTTCTAACTTCTGCAGAGTGTTGTGTGTGGCATGTTCAAACTGAAAGCGGTCTTTGGTAGACGCTGTAGTGCTAGTTTCTTGCAACCAGCTTAGAATCAATGGTCGCAACATGGGGAATTTGCGCCTTCTGTACGAGAACGGACAATCCGATTTGGAGATTGTTGGTCAAATTGATAAGGTTCATAAGTAGCATGAGGTAGAGCAAGTGGCATGTTGTGTGTGTGACGCCATCAGTAAGTCCTTGGCAGGTGCTTGTAGGTTTGTGAGGATGAAGTACATTTCGGTTTTCTCGAGAGTGGCTACGGAGGGACAGCCACAAACTCTTGCTTTCGGGTCGTCAATGAATGCCTTATACAAGTTTGATTCTCATGGGACGTCTGGACGTCGGTAGAGACTTTAATTTTTGTAAATGATAGCGATTTAGAAAGTTTGGATTATTGCGGCTCGTAGCGTTTAATTTAGACTATAGTTGGCTTGTAGCGTTTAATTTAGACGTACTTCAATCTTGCATTTGCGATTTCTTGCACGTGTCGATACAATTTTCAACTTTTAATTGTCGATACAATTTTGAACTTTTATTCTTTCATGATTACGATGTTTCTTAAAGTGAGACGGAATCCATGGTATTCACGTGAATTTCAGTTTGATATGACAATGTTATATCAATTTATGATTATTTGTCGAAGCGCGTCGGAATCCATACATAAACCATTTTGTTTACCGTGTGATTGTATTGACTCATCGATCGATTTCTAGTTTCTTCTTCACACAATGTGATTTGTAGCACGTCTGACTCGATGCTTAGTGATAGTTGGTGCGATGCAGACTCTAAGGTCATTCACAACCCTGTCGTTAAGTGTCTCATTACGTATGCTGATTGAATTTCAATGTATGACAATAACATGCCAGTTACGTCTTTTAAGTAACATAAATTGTCGGAGTGTGATGGAGTCCAAAATTATCGAAGTGCGTTGGAATCCATCCTTAAACCATCTCGATTACCATGTAATAATGGCCTTTACTCTTCGATTGAGTTTCAATTTATGCAAATCACACCGAACAAGTCTTTTAATAAGTATGTACATAAATTGTCGAAGTGTGATGGAATCCATAGTACGTAAACCATGATCTCGTTTGTCGTGTGATTGCCTAAGGCTTTAGCCTTAAGGCATGATCTCGTTTGTCGTGCGATTGCCTAAGGCTTTAGACTTAAACTTTACTCTTCGATTGAGTTACAATTTATGCAAGTCACAACATTAAATTTTACGTCTTCTAAGTTTAACTTAGTGCATAAATTTAAAGCATAAATTATCGAAGTGCGACGGAATCCATAGTACTTAAACCATCCGAAGGATAAATTATCGAAATGGGACGGAAGCATAGTACTTAGCAAGTCACAATGTCATCTAAAATAGGTCCGACTCAATGTTGACACAAAATTGAGCAAGCTGTGATTAAATCGAGAGTTCAACAATTCATGTAATTACCGTAACGACTTTTGAGACTTAGACTAAGTTACAAAATTTATGGAAGTGCAATGGAATCCACACTTACTCTATCATGATCAGTAAGTGACTGCCTTGAATCTCCAGTTTAGATTCAATTTATGGCCTGTCAATTGCATTCGTCGGGTTCACTACTCCTATCCTAAGTTCCATTCAGGTCGAAAATATAGCGATTTTAACATGAAATTAATAGCTTGCGAGTACCAATTTAAAATATAATGTCCTATTTTAACGAATAACATGTTTTTATTGATTGATTGATTGGTGGGGGAGGTGTCCTCCCTCCGCTCCCCGAGTCCCCGGCACACGCGCGCACACACACACACACACACACACACACACACACACACACACACACACACACAATCAATCAATCAATCAATCAAACATTTTTTTTGTCTATTTGTTTTCTATTTTTGCATCTTCATTTTTTTTAAACACCTAATTAAAGCTAATTTACCGACAAAAAATCGAAATTCATTTCTCAAAAAAATACAGCACAACTCGTGGACCATATCCCTTTTGATAAAAAATGACAAATAGAAAATTATGCTTTCCTTTTTATTTTATTTTGTTTAAATTAAATTTTGTTTTTTATTTTTTTTAAATCTTAAACAAAGTTCGATTCCAAAATAAAAAACGTAGGGTTGTAGGGTTTTCCAAGCCCTACACCCCTATAGTTTTTTTTTTTTTTAACATTTTTTTAGGGGTAAAAACAAATATTAAAAAAATAGGCCGCGGACTGGGCTTATTGGCCGCGGCCGCGGCCGACTTTTCCTGCCGCAGCGGCCGAAACGCCCACGGCCTAGGCTGCGGGTGTCACATAGACACACACACACACGCACACCAAAAAAAAAAAAAAAAAAAAAAAGACACGCGACGCATTGCATGTTTCCATGTTTTAGCGGGTCTGGGGCCAGTTATTGCATCTTAATTGTTTTTTAACACCCAATTTCCCTAAAAAAACAATAAAAACATTTCTAAAAAAAATACAGGAAAACTCAGCGACCATATCCCTCATGATAAAAAATGACAAAAAAAAAATTCTATTTTTTTTCTTTTTTCTTTTTATTTTTTTCACTCGAATTTTGTTTTTTATTTTTTTTAAATATGAAACGAAGTCGAAATCCAAAATAACAAAAATAGGATTGTAGGGTTTTTCAAGCCCTACAACCCTACATATATATATAATATGTGACACCCGCAGCCTAGGCTGCGGGCAATTCGGCCGCTGCGGCCGAAAAAGCTTGTCACAGCCGCGGCCGATGAGGCTCAGTTTGCGGCCTGGTTGTTTATTTTTTTTTCTTACCCCTAAAAATTCGTCAAAATAAGGGTGTAGAGCTTGGTAAAACCTAACAATGCTATGTTTCTTATTTTGGAATCCGACTTCATTTAGCCTTTTTTTAAAATACAAATCGAAATTCGATTTAAACAAAATATAAAAAAAAAAATAAAAAAAAAAGCAGGATTTTTTTTTTTTTTTTTTTTATCATGAGGGATATGGTCCCTGAGTTGTGTTGTATTATTTTTAGAAATGATTTTCGGTTTTTTGTAGGGAAATTAGGTGTTTACAAAAAATGAAGATGCTTAAAACAAATCAACAAAAAAGGTTGGGGTTGGTGTGGTATAGGTGGTGAAAGACCCAGGAAGACCACCACAAGCAGGGAGAATGAGCAACACAATTTGTGTTATCATAGAATATAAATGTGTGATTACTTCTACACGGCAACACAAAATGTGTTGCTGTTGCTTATGTTCATACTAACAACAAGCAAACAGAGAGAGAGAGAGAGAGAGAGAGAGAGAGAGAGAGAGAGGGAGAGAGGCAGGTTGATCGTTGTGGGTTCTTGAGAGAGAAAGAGAGAGAACAGGCTGCTACGTCTGCTCGGCCGAGGCCGCTAGGCCGCTAGGCCGCAATCCGAGGACAGGGACGAGGACAGCGGCCGCATCCATGGATCGGAAGAAGACCCCCTACAGGCTATGAAACACCCGCGGACGCGTCCGCGGGTCAAAACAAAATTAAAAATAAGTTTTTTTGGGGGGGAGGGATTTTTGGTTGGCAGTTCTTTGTATTCTT